CCACACACTGGCGCTAGGGCAATGACATTATCAGAACATTTGCAGGGAATTCGAAAAAATTTTAAGATTGTCAAAAACAAGTAAAATAGTATCATAATAGTGTCAGAATGGAATCGGATGTTAATATGGCGTTTTATGAGCTTCATCTATATTCCAAATTTTGACCCTTTGTGGGAGAGGTACCAGAAGAAATGGTCCGATCTCTACCATCTTTATAACAGATCTTGTGTTGATGGAAATATTGAGATGTACCAAATCTGAATGGCATCGGATTTTAATTTCGCATTTTAGGACCTTCATAAATATTCAAAATTTTGACCCTTTGTGGGAGAGGTACCAGAATTAGTGGACCGATATATTCCATCTTCACACCATACTTTGGGTTAACACAAATATTGTGATGTGTGTAATTTCATGACAATCGGACACTTACATCACATTTTATAGGATTTCTAATTATTCAAAATTTTGACCCTTTGTGGGTGAGGTACTTGACGGAGTGGACCGATATTTTCCTGACCTAGAACTGAGGCAAATATTTGTATTTGCAAAGTTTGAGCAAAATAAGATTATCCTTTCTTCCTCTGTGCAGTAAAATGTTTTCTTTGAAAATTTCAACCTTTTATAGGAGAGGTACCAGAAGGAGTGGACCGATATTGCCCCTCTTCGATCGGGATCTAAGTTTTATAATAATATTACAATGGATCAAATCGGATACTCCCTTCGAGAGTTATCGTGCGCAGCAATCAGCCAGACACACAGACGGACATCGCTAGATCGACTCCAAATGTCCTGAAACGGATTTTGTCCAATGAGACCTATGTTCTAAAACCGTTATTTCGATGAGGCACGTTTTGGCTGTATCAAATGATATATATATATATATATATCCTCTCTAGCCATATGGCTGAGGTTATAACTAACCATATGGCTGAGCGTATAAAAATTCTTGATTTATTCTGTGCGGACCTTTAAGGAAATATATTTTGCTTTATTTATTAGGGACCCATTGAAGTCCGGGGCGTATTTTCTCTTTCATTTTGTTTTACAACATTTCAAAAATAATCTGGCATTAGGTGATGACAACACTGATCTTCAATGGCAGTGAGGCCTACCATGTGCCTACCACCTACCTCCAAAGATTGGAGAGTGAAATATCACACAAAACCATAAATGCCTTTCATTTCAATGGCTGACTGGCTGGCTGCCTGGCTAGCTGAGAGTTAAACTTTTGAATGTTAGGCGGCTAAGCGTGCGCTTAAAGCCATGTTTTGGCGCTTGAAGTTGTTTTCGTTGGTGTAACTTGTCATGGATTTGCAATTAGAAATGTGTGTCAAGTTTGGCTTTGCTTTGTGGAAAAATCGGTTTTCTTCTTTGCGGGCGTTTTCACTTGAATTGTGTGATGACTGGGTACGAGTGTGTGTGTGTGAATGTATGTGCGAGAATGTGATCATAAAGTTGCCCGCCTTAGTCCGAGGCCGTGTGACCAATCATCTGCGGCAATGTTTTGTCAACATGTCAGTTACAAGCCACAGGCCGCCACTGCGCCGCTCACTGGCCATAGTCGAAGTTGGAGTAAGCGTTTGTTGGCAGTTGCCATTGTTTGTTCGCCAGTAGTTCAAGTAGCTGTGTTCATGTTGAGTGTCAACCGTTTTGGGTTATGTTTTGCCCATTTTTTTCTTCTTCTTTTAGTTAGTTTGTCATCACATTTTCCAAGGCGATCATCATCACCATGGGCATTGTCGGCATTGTAGTGAACTTTGCGGAGTTTTTTTGGGCAAACTATGGACTGAATCTCCCCATAACAACAATTGAGACTGCACCTCTATTTTCTGGTTTTTTTTTTTTTCATCTTCGAACTGTTGGCATGTCATCTGGACAGGTGCCTTGGTGTGTTTTTCTTTTTGTCTGTTCATTTTCAGTTTCCATTGTTTGTGAACTTGGAAATGTCATAATTTTCTTGTTGCTGAGAGAAAACTCTTTGTGCGAAAAAATGGCCCCATAGTTGTTGGCGGGGGGTATTTAAAGTAAAACAACAACAACAAAACACTTTCAAGCAATTCATCATTTGTTTGTCAACGCAAATGGCAACGGCACAACAAACGCTTATCAGATTCACAGGCCATAAATACTGAATCGCAAGTCTAAATATAACGCCTGCCATAAATCACAATTGCTTGATTAGTTCGGACATGATTTAGAGTGATGCCAGCAAAACTTTCTACAGAGTTCGTTTGGGTTTTCTTTTGGGATATGTGATGATGTTTACATGGCGATCTAACATACACTCACTTCCAAAAATGTGTAATTTAAAATTTTGTTAGAAAACACAACTTATTGTTTATGTTGGGCGCCATTTTTAGAAGGAATTCACTGTACCAATGTACCTTCACTGTAACTTCTTTATAAACTGGTAAGGAAGATTTCATCTTTGCCATTTCCATTTTCACTTTTATTTAGGCTTAGCATTCTCTGTATATGAAACGTTCATCAAATTACCCAAGTTTTGTTATATATCCAGAAAAAAACTATTTATTTTTAATATTGGGCGCCATTTTCAGAACAAACATATTGCTTCCATATTTCCCCCTTTTTATACCCTTTGTCATATGGCTACAGAGGGTATATATCATTTGATACGGCCAAAACGGTTTTAGATCTAGGTCTCTATGGGCCAAATCCGTTTCAGGACATTTGGAGTCAATCTAGCGATGTCCGTCCATCCGTCTGTCTGTATGGCTGGCGCGCATGAGGAAGTATCCAATTTGATCCAAACTTGGTACATCGTAATATTATTATACAACTTTGATCGAGTTAGGAGATGGACAATATCGGTCCAGTTCTTCTGGTACCTCCCCCACAAAAGGTCAAAATTGTCAAAGAAAATATTTCACTAAACAGATAGAGAAAGGATTATCAAATTTTGCTTTAAATTTGCAAATCCTAATATTTGCATCAGTGCTACGTCAGGTGCGAAAATGGACAATATCGGTTCACTCCTTCAAGTACATCCCCAACAAAGAGTCCAAATTTGGAATAATTATAACTCTTATAATATGTGATTTAAGAGTCCGATTGTCTTCAAATTTCACAAATCCCAATATTTACATTAAACCAAGGTCTGGTGTGAAGATGGAATATATCGGTCTACTCCTTCTGGTACCTCCCCCACAAAGGGTCGAAAGATGAAATATCCATGAAGCTCATAAAATGTGCTCATTAACATCCGATTCCATTCAGACTTGGCACATCGCAATATTTCTATCAACACAAGATTTGTTATAAAGATGGTAGGGATCGGATCGTTTTTTCTGGTACCTCCCCCACAAAGGCTCAAAATTTTAAATAAATATTAAGCTCATAAAACGCGAAATGAGCATCCAATTATCTTCAAATTTCACACATCGCAATATTTTTTCTTAAGCTAGATGTGGTGTGAAGATGGAATATATCGGTCCACTCCTTCTGGTACCTCTCCCACAAAGGGTCAACAATTTTAATATTCATGAAGCTCATAAAATGCGACATTAAAATCCGATTCCATTCAGGTTTGGTACATCTCAATATTTCCATCAAAACTAGATTTGTTTTGGTGGAGATCGGAACAGTCCTTCTAGTATCTCCCCCACAAAGGGTCAAAATTTTGAATAACCAAAACGATCATAAAATCCGAAATAAGCTTCGGGTTCTCTTCAAAATTCACATATCCCATTATTTCTACTAACACAAGATCTGATGTGGGATGTATCGGTGCACTCCAATTGGTACCTCCCACAAAAAGGGTCAAAATTTTGAATATGCATGAAGCTCATAAAACACGAAATTAACATCCGATTCCATTCAGACTTGGTACACCAAGGTCAAAATATATATATTTATTTAAATAATCGAACATTGGCTGAGGTTATTCATCTGTCTTCAAAACCGACTAATACTTTTTAAATTGTATACGTTAAGATCAGAGAAAGATATGACAGTAGTCATTAAAAAATCTATGCTTCCAGCATCCTTTGAAATGTCACCTAAAAAAATCTTGTTTTTCAGGCATTGGATAGATCTGAGAAAAGTTTCCCAGTACCTCATAAAATTTTAACTTTGGGGGAGATATGAGTTAGGCTTTTATAATCCACGTTTTCCATGCTTTTGGGACAGATTTTTAGATTCAAAAAATTCGTGTTATTTCGGATATCTGAAGGTGATAAAACGGCTCCCTCACTAAATATTCTATGACTTGATGCCAAGCAGCTTATGCATTCTCGCCGTTCTACGTTTTGTAGGCTTTGAGGACGATTCTGAAACCTTTAAAAATTCAGGTGGTGGGCTTTGGAAAAGATCTGAAGAAAGTTTTTCTAATATCTCCAAAAATCCTCGTTTTGTGGGTCTTGGAGAACATTTTCGGTAGGTACCTCTGAAGTCTTTACAAATCCACATTTCATAAGCCCTGGAGAAGATTTGTTGGAGGCCTTCTAGAAGCTTTTAAAATTCACGCTTTCATGTTTTGATTACTGGGTAAATTTACCCCTTATTTCCAAAAAATATTAATTTTTAGATTGGGCGCCAGTTTTAAAGTTGTTGAAGTTTCATGCTGGGCGCATGTTTTACATTGGGCAAAGGCTACTGATCCTGAAAATTATTAATTTCTGATTCCTCTTATTTTTTCCTTGGACACCATTTGTTACTAAGCTCCCTGGACCTTGGTAATGCATTTATATTTGTACCTGGAGGTTATGTTCTTTTTAATACAGCCTGATTTGTATTAAGCAGCCTTGTTGATTAGATATTTATTTCGGAGATATTGATATATTCGTTGTGCGCCATTTTTAAAATACAACTTCTTAGTTCAATTTATGTCAATGGATTCTCTTCCCATTTTCTTAGCAATTGTCTGGAAATGATTTTTCTTTGGGTGCCATTTTAGAAATGAAAAATCGGCAATAAAGTACCTCATGAATTTTCTGAATTGATTTGAATGCATATTTTTATTTTTTTTATATTTGCAGAAATTAATTGACCTGAAAATTGAGGAGAATCAAAATTACACCCTGGAAGAAATTCAAAAGATTTGCCAGCAGGTAATTCGCTATTCGGTGAAAACGAGTCATGGACGTTTTCACAATCAATTGTTTGGACAAATGGATCCGTATGGCCTGGCTGGCAGTTGGATAACCGAGGCCCTCAACACAAGTGCGTAAGTTCGAAAAAAAGAAAGAAAGACAGCGAAAAAAATGTCCTGTGGAGAGGATTCTAATTGAGAAGATGTTGTGCGGCACACCTTGTTTGGTGTTCGCAGCTTATTTTGTTGCTTAGTTTTTCAATGTCATTTGTTTGTCTGTCTCTTTCTCTCCCTGCCGATAGGTATACATTTGAAGTGGCGCCGGTCTTTAGTTTGATCGAAACTGAAATTGTGCGCAAGGTATGCGAGCTGTGCGGTTACGGTCAAGGTGATGGTATCTTCTCGCCCGGCGGATCAATATCAAATATGTGAGTATGTGGCGCTTTGTAGCCAATTCAACAGGGCAATTTCGAAATTTGCAAACACACTTCGGCTAAGGCTGAGAGAATTCCATTGAAGTGGTATTATTTGACCTGAGGCCATAAATCATAATAACGAGGAGTGGGGTGTGAGTGTGTGTGTGTGTGTGCGGCTTTGTGTTGCGCCGCACTTGATGTCCATTCAGTCATAATGGACACTTGACACTTGAGCCACCAACAAAAATATGTATTCAATATTCACAAAATTGTCAAAAAAACAAATATGCAAAAGTTCCGACCATGGTCAAAATTAATTAACTGTTGTTATTGTTTTGTTTGTTGTTCGTTTGAAGTGACCTTTATTGCTACAACAAATGTATTTATTTGCCTAATTTCTGTTACAGGTATGGCGTGGTTTTGGCCCGCTACAGACAATTTCCAGAAATCAAATCGAAGGGCATGTTTGGTATACCTCCTTTGGTCATTTTCACCTCGGAGGAGTCGCATTACAGTTTTAAGAAAGCTGCCCATTGGTTGGGCTTTGGTGTGGAGAACTGTGTTATGGTCAAGACCAATGACCGGGGTCAAATGTTGCCCGAAGATTTGGAGCTAAAAATCTTGGAAGCTAAGGCCCATGGCAAGGTGCCACTTTTTGTCAACGCCACAGCGGGCACGACGGTGCTGGGAGCGTTTGATGATTTCAATCGGATAGCTGATGTCTGCCAGAGGCATGAACTGTGGATGCATGTTGATGTAAGGAATCGTAGATATTTAAAGGATATTTTAGATAAAATTTTTACAAGGACCAAAAAGCCTGGATTTTAGGGGATAACATTTTTCAAGAACCGTCAGAGAAATGAAGGACGATTTTTGAAGCATATTTTGTAAGGATCATCGAATCAAAAAAAAAAAAAAAATCGGGTATTTTGTCAAGGACCCAGATACCAATTTTTATTAGATTTATTTTAAGGGCCATTAGACCAATAAACAAGCCTTTTTTTATTTTCTCGCGTGAAGGATTATAAGTCAAATAAACGTTGATTTTTTGGGATATTTTTCAAGGACATTCAGACCAATAAACGTGAATTTTAAAAGGATATTTTTCTAAGGACATTCAGAGTAATAAATATGGATTTATTTAAGGATATTTTTTCGAGAACCTTCGCTGCAAAAAGATTGGATTTTAAAATGATATTTTCTAAAGGACATTCATCCCAATAAATGTGGATTTTTTAAAGGATATTTTTTCTAGCATCCTCATGGCAATAAATGTAGATTTTTTAAAGGATATTTTTTTCAAGACCATCGCCGCAATGAATTTGGATTTTTAAAGGATATTTTTTTGAAGACCATCGCAGCAAATCGACGCATATTTTTTAAAGGAATTTTTTCTAGGACCATCATAGCAATAAACGCGGATTTTAAAGGATATTTTTCCAAGGATCATCAAATCAATAAACATGGCTTTTTAAAGGATATTTTGTGGAAAGGATGTTCTCGAGAACCATCGCAGCAATAAACGTGGAAATTTAAAGGATATTTTTTCGAAAGGATATTTTCGAGGACCATCGCAGCAATAAATGTGGATATTAAAAGGATATCTTTTCGAGGAGCAATAGACGTGGCAGCAATAGAAGTGGATTTTTAAAGCATATTTATCCAAGGATATTGATCCCAATAAATGTGGATTTTTAAAGGATATTTTTCCAAGGACATTCATCCCAATAAATGTGGATTTTTAAAGGCTATTTTTTCGAGGACCATCATAGCAATAAACGTGTATTTTAAAGGATATTTTGTCAAAAGGATATTCTCGAGAACCATCGCAGCAATAAACGTGGATTTTAAAGGATATTTTGTAACGCAGCAATAAACGTGGATTTTTAAGGGATATTTTTACGAGGATCATCGCAGCAATGAACGTGGATTTTTAAGGGATATTTTTACGAGGATCATCGCAGCAATGAACGTGGATTTTTAAAGGATATTTTGTAACACAGCAATAAACGTGGATTTTTAAAGGATATTTTGTAACGCAGCAATAAACGTGGATTTTTAAAGGATATTTTTACGAGGACCATCGCAGCAATAAACGTGGATTTTTAAAGCCTATTTTTTCGAGAACCATAAGATTCAGGTGTGAAGTTTAAGACTTCTTTTATCAGGTGTGGATTTTTAAGGGTCACCAGATTTTTTAATCATCTTTTTTTTTCTAGGATCATCAGATATTCAGGCGTGGATTTTTAAGGATTTTTTTAAAGACTCTCCTAATAGAATCACCAGATATTTAGACGTGGATTTTTAAGGATTTTTTTTCAAGGACTATTCTACTAGGATAACCAGATATTTAGAAGTAGACTTTAAGGATTTTTTTAAGGACTATCCCACTAGGATAACCAGATATTTAGGCGTGGATTTTTAAGGATTTTTTCAGGGACTCTCCTACTGGGATCACCAGATATTTAAGCGTGGATTTTTAAGGATTTTTTTCAAGGTATACCAGATATAACCAGGTATTTAGGAGTAGATTTTTAAGGATTTTTTAAAGGACTATCCCACTAGGACAACCAGATATTTAGGCGTGGATTTTTAAGGATTTTTTTCAAGGACACCTACAAGGATCACCAGATATTTAGGCGTGGTTTTTAAGCATTTTTTTCAAGGACTCTCCTACTAGGATCGCCAGATATTTATTCGTGGATTTTTAAGGATTTTTTCAAGGACTCTCCTACTAGGATCACTAGATATTTAGCCGTAGATTTTTAAGGATCTTTTTATACCAGGACCATCAGATATTTAGGCGTGGATTTTTTAAAGATCTTTTTATATAAGGACCATCAGATATTTAGGCGTGGATTTTTTTAGGAGTTATTTGTATGTATCAGGGGTTGATTTTTTAAGGATTTTTACTATGACCCTTTAAAATTCAGTGGTCGATTTTAAGGACTTTTTATAAAGAACATCAAGTATTCTGGCTTTCAAAGAAATTTTCTATTAGGGCCATCAGATGTTCTGCTGTGGATTTTAAAGAACTCTTCTAGTAGGACCATCATATAGATATTCAGATATGGATTTTTACGGAAATGTTTCTAGGACCATTAGATATTCAGTCGTGAGTTTTAAGGACTTCTTATTAGGACCATCAACTATTCTGGTCTCGATTTTTAAGGATTTATTAAAACCATAAAATATTCAGACGAGAATTTTAAAGGACATTTCTGCTAGGACCATAAGATTTTCAGGGGCGGATTTTTATGGATATGTTTTGAACCCGTCGATATTCAGCCGTGGATTTTCAATTTTGTTTTTATATATTTTTACTAGGCGTGGATTTTTTAGGAAATTTTTACTAGGACTTATAACAGACATGGATTTTTAAACGACATTTTTACTAGGGCTTATTATAAGCGTGGATTTTTAAGGACATTTTTTCTAGGACTTATAACAGGCGAGGATTTTTTAGGACATATTTACCAGGACTTATACCCGGCGTGGATTTTTTAGGACATTTTTACTAGGACTTATAACATGCGTGGATTTTTAAGGACATTTTTACTAGGACTTATAACAAGCGTGGATTTTTAAGGACATTTTTATAAGGACTTATTGCAGGCGTGGATTTTTAAGTACATTTTTACAAGGACTTATTGCAGGCGTGGAATTTTAAGGACATTTTTACTAGGCAGTGATTTTTTAAGGACATTTTTAGTAGACAGTGATTTTTAAGGACATTTTTTCAAGGAGTGGATTTTTTAGGACATTTTTACTAGACGGTATTTTTTTAAGGACATTTTTTCAAGGTGGGGATTTTTTTTTAAGGACATTTTTATTAGATTTTAAAGGACATTTCTACAAGGACTTATAAGAGGCTTGGTTTTTTAAGGACGGCGTGGATTTTTAAGGACATTTTTATAAGGACTTATTGCAGGCGTGGATTTTTAAGGACATTTTTACAAGGACTTATTGCAGGCGTGGATTTTTAAGGACATTTTTACAGAGACTTATTGCAGGCGTGGATTTTTAAGGACATTTTTACTAGGATTTTTAAGGACATTTTTACAAAGACTTATTGCAGGCGTGGAATTTTAAGGACATTTTTACTAGGATTTTTAAGGACATTTTTACAAAGACTTATTGCAGGCGTGGAATTTTAAGGACATTTTTACTAGGATTTTTAAGGACATTTTTACAAAGACTTATTGCAGGCGTGGAATTTTAAGGACATTTTTACTAGGCAGTGATTTTTTAAGGACATTTTTAGTAGACAGTGATTTTTAAGGACATTTTTTCAAGGAGTGGATTTTTAGGACATTTTTAGTAGACGGTAATTTTTTAAGGACATTTTTTCAAGGTCGGGATTTTTTAAGGATTTTTCTTAGAGGTTTGGAGGTTTTTTACTTTTGGTTGGGAATTTTAAAAACTCTTTTACTGGGCGTAGATTTTTTACAGACCTGACTTTTTTGACAATATTTTATTCATTTTTTTAGGCCTGCTTGGGTGGCTCCGCCTTGCTGTCCTACAAAAATCGCCACCTCCTAAAGGGTTTGGAAAAATCCGACTCCTTCTCGTGGAACCCACACAAATCTCTCGGCGCTCCTTTGCAATGTGCCCTCTTCCTGACACGCCACGCTGAGCTATTGCCCCAGGCGAATAGTACCGCCGTTCATTATCTCTTCCAACAGGATAAATTCTATGATGTCTCCTATGATACGGGCAATAAGAGTATTCAATGTGGCCGTAAAATTGATGCCTTTAAATTTTGGATAATGCTCAAGGCTCGAGGTTATGGTAGCTTTGGTCGCCTCGTCGATCATGCTTTGGATATGTCGAAATTATTTATGGAAAAAATGAAGAGACGTCAGGGGTATCGTTTGGTCATGGAGGATTATCAATATACGAATGTGTGTTTCTGGTATGTGCCGCAGAGTATGCGCAATCAAAAGGAGGATGAGAAGTGGTGGCAGAAGTTGTATGAGGTTAGGATGAGAAGAATGAAATTTGTTAATTGTCTCATATTTGGTTTGGATTTTCCAGGTGGCGCCCAAGGTAAAGGAGTTCATGATACGCCAAGGCACCCTCATGATGGGCTATTCCCCGCTGCAGTATCGCAATATTGGCAACTTTTTCCGCATGGTCTTCACCTGTTTCCCGGTGATGCAGGAGGCGGAATTGGATTTCATTTTGGATGAAATTGAGCGATTGGCCGACAGCTGCTAGTTCTTAAGGGCAGGAGACTTCAAAAAAGTGAAGTGAAAATTTCAAATATTATCTGCCAAATGTTCGTAGTTCGTAGGCTAGTCATAGGTTTAGTTGTGTAGGCAAATGACATGTATTATTTTTTTTCGGTCAATATAAAATATTTCTAATCGGTAGGCGGTTGATTTTGGACACCAAATTTTGTGAGGCATTCCGGTATTGAGGGTAAGTACCCATCATGTCCAAATTTGTCAATTTGCGAGGTTCATTACCGATTTTTCGTTTTTTTGTGATTTCCATTGCCTAATGTCGTGTCATGCGTGATTCGTTCGACAAAAGACCATCGGATCATCTACAGTTGATGAGGCTGTGTGCCTCATCAACATTGTCGCCTCAAAACACATCGCATCACAGCCATTCGTGATCCATTGGTGATAATGATGCTGGTAAGACGTTATAATGGATAGTGATGATGCAGAAGGTGGTGTTGGTGCTGGTATTCACTGGCAATGACATCTCAAAAAAAAAAAAAAAAACGATCTACAATGTCTTCAATTACACATGGGCCATGGTAGATGTTTAAAATCATGTTCGAGTTGTTTCAGATCTTTTTTTCGAAATTATTTTTTTGTTGGATTAAAAAAAGCTCAGACTCCAACGCATTGAAAAGGACTGCATTTGACACACATGTGTTGCGGAAAGTTTTGTATTGCGCAGTAGGAAAATATTGAATGGTATCATTTTCTCAAGGGGTTGGGTACCATCCATCCTTAAGGAATCTCTAGATTTTGATGCATTTTTTAAATAGATCATTAGACCTTCCAGGCGTAGATATTTAGGAAGTTTTTTACCAGAACTAAATACATTTTACAAGGACCACGTCTCAGGTTAGAATTATTTGAAATATGGATTTTTTAAGATAAATAATTTTATGATTGGCTTCCTTGATCATTGTAAATGGATAAACGGATTTTCAAGCCGTGTTTTTTAGGACCATCTACACGGACCAAAAGACCCTCCAGGCGTGGATTTTCTGAGTTTTTAAAGGGACCAACAACCTTCCAGACGTGGATTTTTAAAAGGACCAACAGAATTCCTGGGATCTTTTACGAATACGAAGAACCTTCCAGGATCAACAACTTTCCAGGTGTGATTTTTTAAATAGACCAAAAACCTTCCAGGACTAAGAGCCTTTCAAGTTTTTTTTTACAATGACCAACAGACTTACTGGGATATTTTAAAAGGACCACGAGCCTTCCAAGCATTTTTTTACAAGGACGAAGAATCTTCCAGGCGTGTACCTTTAAGCGTGGATGTTTAACAAGGATCAACAACCTTCCTGGTGTGGCTTTTTTAAATAGACCAACAAGCTTCCAGGCGTAGACTTTTTACGAGGACAAACAATTTTCCAGTTGTGGACCTTTAAGCGTGGATTTTTAACAATAATCTACAATGATGAAATGGACAAACAACTTCCAGCCGTGGATTTTTTACATTAACCAACACATTTCCATGGATTACTTACAACGACCAAGAGCTGTCCAGGCTTGGATTTTTTACAAGGATCAACAGACTTCCTGGGATTTTTTACAACGACCAAGAGCCTTCGAAGCGTGGACCTTTACGAGCGGTTGTTTAACAAGGATCTAAAACATTCCACGTGTTGTTTTTTTTTAAATGGACCAACAACCTTCTTGACGTGGATTTTTTGCAAGGACGAACAAACTTTCAGGGATTTTTTACAATGACAAAGAGGTTTCCAAGAGTAGATTTTTTACAAGGGCCAACAACCTTCTAGGCGTATATCTTTAAGCGTGGCTTTTTAAAAAGGATCCACAACCATCCAGTTGTGGCTCTTTTAAATTGACCGACAACCTTCCAGGCGTGGATTTTTTACAAAGCGAGGATTTTTTACTTTTTACAAGGATCTTTATGCATAGAATTTATAAAGACTCTTATTTGGACCATCAAACATTCAGTCATGGATATTTTATAGGGGAGTGGTATTTAACTTCTGACATCAATGCTTGGATTTTTAAGGACATTTTTACAAGAACCATCATATATATATATGGGGTGGATTTTTAAGGACATCTTTACAAGGATATATATTCAGATGTAGATTTTTGAGGACTCTTTTTTACAAATATTCCTTCAAATCCATCAAATATTCAGGCTGAACAATTCAAGAACTTTTAAAGAAGAACAATTAGATATGAGAGATGTGAATTTTATAGAACTATTTTACCAGGACCATAATACGTTCAGACCTGGACTTTTAAGGACCGTTTTTAATATCACAATCAAATGTAGATTTGGATTCCTTTTTTTTCTGCCACCATAAGACTGGATTATTTAAGAACTATTAAAGAAGGACTTTTTTACCAGAACCATACGATACTTAGGCCTAAATTTTTGAGGACTTAAACTTTCAAGCTTGGAGTGATTTTAGTAGAAATTTGTCTTTAAACACTCACGCAAAAAGTTCGGTTGGTCCTTGTGAAACTATTTCGCAAATTTCCGCGCTTAGAGGTCTCTTATTTCCAGTAAAAATCCAAAAATGTCAAAAAATCCCATCCAACCCACCAATCCCACCAACGTGAAAGTAATTTAGTTCCCAATTTCCACAATATAACGAATAATGTGGGCGTTATTATTAACTTCCACATTGGGCGCCATTTGGAAAGATGATTGAAATTAGACATTGAAAGATTGTAACTCTCACATTGTGGGTAGTCAAGGGTCGAATGCGAATGAAAAACATTATTCCAAATAAGTTTTTTTACTCTACAACATTATGTGTTGGGGGTATTATAACTTTGATTGGGCTAAAAATTATGTAACACCTCGAAATATTGGTTCCCGATGTAGGTAACTATATAAGGATCTTCCTATCTCGCCAAGCTCAGCCGTCTGCCCGTCTGTCCATGTTAATTTGAAATCACGCTACAGGTCACGATTACGGCCCGATAATCACGTAATTGAAAATGGAGGTGGGGTTAGGGTCATAATAGAAGCCTATTATTTTTGGAGATGATCGCAAAATATTAAGTGGTTGAAATGGACCAAAAACAGAAAGATTTTGCTGTTGCCCTACAGGTCGCAATTATGGACCAATCAACGCGAAAGTTAGCGTAGGGATAGAGCTTAGGGCTGTGTAGACGCATTCCTATTTGGATGGTAATCGGGTAATATTTAGTGGGTGAAATAGACCAAAATTGCTGTGTTAAATAAAAGTCAAATTTTCCACTAAACCGCGAATAGTTTTAATCCCGGCGGACAAAACAAATGGACGGAAAGGTCCGGTCTGACCGTTACCAACAACTAAAAATATTTCTGATTTTGCAGCCGTTATAAAGGTCACAAATAGAAACCAGAGGACACGAAATCTCGCACAAAGTTAGAGTTTAGGACAACGGGAAGAATGGACCACTAATTTTGTGTAAAAAATACCAACATTTCCATTATACCGAAATGCTGAAAATAACTTACAGCTGAAATCCAAAATACACAAGTGGCAAATTTCTGACTTTTTATGCTGATTTTTGTTGCCGAATATAGCCAAATATCGTAGACGAGCAAATCATATAGATGAGTTTAAATTTGGAGATACAGAGGGACCTCTTGTATTTGGAGATGATCGCAAACTATTTAGGGTTTCAAATGTAGCAAAAACAGATAAATTTTCCTCATCCCACAATTGAAACCAATTGACACGGAATTTCCTCTGAGAAGAGAGTTAAGGACAACGAAGAATTCTAGTATTTTGGATGACCGTTGGATTTCACTTAGCTGTTAAATGCACCACATCAACTAACAACACGACGGAGTGCGTAAATATTGGGCAAATGCGTCTGGTCAAAAAGCTAAGAATAATATCTGGGCAATGCTCTATGACATAATTTCAAAAGCGAATTCTTCTAAAACCGATTTGGACATAAGGGGGTCTTCTAATATATTGTAGTATTGTAGGGTATCACATTGTCGACCCAGAACAACTATAGTCTTTGCTTACTTGTTTTTGGATAAAAAATGTTTCTGCCTTACAAACAGTAGGTCCGTTTCGTATATAGAAGGTCAACGAATATTTGACCTTATCTGAAGTTTTTACTAATATTTTAACATTTATTATTTTCATTCCAAAAAAACTGATAAACGCTTTCTCTTCTTTATTTACTTTGGAAATTTTTGGAAATTTTTGGAAATTATGGAATATTAGTTCACGTTGGGCGCCATTTGGGCATGCGAGGAATAAATGAAATATTGTTTTTTTTTTGTACAAAATATCGTTGATTTACATACAGAAGTTTTGTTTGGTAGATATTAGATCATATGTTGGAATGTCGACTAAATATTTCCATGAAGTTTTGGGAGTATAGGGCTTTTTTAATATTTTCATTTTTATTTTCTAATCTAGAAACTGGAAACCACATAATTTCCAATCGTATAACAATTTCCAGCGCATATGAAGTTTGAAAATTAGTTGACTTTATGGGATATTGACGTTGGGCGCCACTTTCCAACACGGCCGACAGATTTTTATTACTGACTCCTCATTTTGTTTTCCCGTTTCTATAATTTTCTCATCGAAAAACCGTTTCTAGTGCACATGAAGCTTTAAAATGAGTTGGATTTTTACGTTGGGCGCCACTTTTTACTTGGCCGTCAGAGTTTAAGTTCGACCCTTAAATGTTTTCCCTTTCCATAATTCCTCCTTCACAAATCCGTATTCACTGTGTATGAAGTTTTAAAATTAGTTGAATTTATGGGCCCTATTTTGTTTTCCTCTTTCTTCTTTCGGGAACTTCATTAGCGCTTCTAAGAGTATGAACAGGGACGAAAATATTTTGTCATTTTTATTTAATTTCTTGTAAATTATAAAATTAGTTTTTTTTTTACGTTGGGCGCCATGTTTAACTAGGCTACCAGTTTTTTAGTGCGAACCCCTTAAATGTGCGTGTTTCCCTCCTCATATCTTCCTCATCGAAAAATCAATGTTTACATGGCATATGAAGGTTTACACTGAGCTGACCATATTTTATATTCACGTTGGGCGCCGCTTTCCAACTTTTTACCGACAGATTTCTGGGTTTCTCCTTTCCATAATTTCTCCCATCGCAAGGCTGTTTCTATTGCATATAAAGCTTTAAAAAGTGTTGTCTGTATTGAAAGTTGA